TTGTGTTGATGTTTGTTCAGCTATTTGTACAAATGTAGCTGTATGATTATTCGAACTGTATACAATATCTACACTATACACGTAGAAATCTCGACTTGTATTCGAATATGAACATCGATCACTTGGTGTAAATGGAGAATAAGCGAGAGAAAAGCCAGAATTGAGATTAATGGCAAAGATAATAAATTGATCATTTCCAGCTATTCGTACACCATGGGCATTATCATCACTAGTATCATAGACAATTTGGCATGAAATCGATGAAAGAACGACGAAAAGAAGAAGAAATTTCTCGAACATTACTTATGAGTAAGTGAAGTACTGAATAAAAAGCTACTTTTATATCGACAAAACTGGGCTAATCGGTCGTTTCGTAACATCGTATGTCCTCTCCAGTCACCTGGATTGTATACATATTAAATGAAGTACTTCAACTATGTACTTAAATTTTCCGTTCGTTCTTTTATATTTATGCAAAACTATTCGTTGATTCAATTATTCATAGATTTATACAAAAAACCTATCCAAACTCAAAAATTCAATGTTCTCATTCGACAATGTCAACGAAATCTTTCTCGATCTTATTTTATTCGTTGGTTTGTATCAAGATGAAAGGCATCTTCAAAGACTTTCAATTTCTGCTCTGTTCCACTAAGAAACCAAATGTGTTGAAAAGCATGTCGTTGCTGAGTATTGAATCGATCATTCAATGGTTCGAATAAAACTTCTGCCCAAAGTTTAGCAATTGTATGAATATTGTTTTGAAAAGCACCACAGCCAATTGGTCCCAAAACCAAATATGTTTCTTTTCCATTCTTTTCACTATTCGCTTGTGCAGCGGAGATAATCGTTTGAAATTTCTTTCGAGTATTTACTTCGATTTGTTCATTCGAATCTGGCACGTGATATAAACCTTCTTGTCGTGTCAAATCATAACATGCACCAGCAATCACGTCGACTCTCGCGAATTCTCGATTATCCAATGCTTTATAAAACTTCACATTTTTCATGTATAAACATCCAAATTCTGGAATGAAGAATCCGCCGTCGAAGCGAGTGTACTTAAAATCCATTAATGCACGATATGTATCGGAATGATAACAGATTGTTTCTTCTTGAGTGCGAGCACCGTATAGAAATAGACCTTCGATAAAAAAAACAATTTCGTGCGTTTTCAATGAGAAAAACTGAAATTACCTCCTGGCATTCTTTCGTCGGCAAAATCTAAAATAATAATTTGCTTTCCTGGTGGAATATCGAAAATAGCTTGTTCGATTCTTCCTTGTTTTGTATTGATAATGCCTTCGTTTTGACGTTCCTCGATAGGAAAATTCATGAGATTGGATTTCACATCCGCGTCAACAAAACCTGCCGATTGAAAAGTTGCATTTGAATAAGGAATATTTGCAATTTGCTTTGTATTAAAATAAACTTTCAATTGTTCGGGTGAAAATCCATTCGTATTTGTGAATTGTCGCGTATTTTTTGCAAATGAATGAATGTTCGGTGAGTTATTGTTCAATTCCCAATATAATTCGTACTTTTCATCATGATTGCTATCGAATTCTTTTTTAAATAGATCAATTTGTTTCAAATATTCAAATTGTTCTTTGAGTTTATGAATTTGTTCATGTGTGACATATTTCGACAGGTCAAAACCAACCGCGTGCATATTCAAAACATATTTTAACGCCACTTTTCTTGCTCCATGTGTATCCACACGTTGAACATCGTCCGATAAACACAATTTGACTAAACTTTCAATATCTTCTTTAGTAAGAGATGCACATGGAATATAAAGTAAGGATGACATTTGTTATTCGATTGAAAATGCTTCACACAATTCCTTTGCTTGTCACGCTTCATTGAACACACGAGGGTTTTTTTTCAACGAATCGATTTGTTATCCAATAATTCCTGTAGATGACATTAGATATGTTGAAAGTTAGTCGAATCGAACTTTTACTCTGTGCTCTGTGGAAATTAAAAATAACTCAGTTTAATTCGCATTTTCTTAAATCTAATCAAACAGAAAAGACGCTCTATCAGTTGAAGAAATCCTTCAATTTAGACGATTTCCGTCGCTCAAAGAAGACCTATTGAGAAGTAATCTCACTTTGTGACTAAAATACTTAAAGTTAATACAAAAAATGAGACAACTCATTTATTAACTAGACAGAAGTTTTTTTTTGTTTTGTCTACCAGTTCAAAATAGCAAATCCATTTTCAACTACATTAATTATGTCATCATTGATTGACCTACTGAATAAAATATCTGAACAAATTAATCTTATTGTTGGAATACTATTTTTCTTTGGAGGATTAATTGGAAACATTATCAATATCTTAATATTTTCACCAATATTAAAAATGCAATTATTCCCATGGACTCCCTCCCGTCTCTATATTCTAACAGGTTCAATAGCGAATTTCATTTTCATTGCCTATTTATTAGCAACTCGCATCTTAATATCTGGATTTTATATTCCATTAACAAATACGATAACTTTCATCTGTAAAACACGTTTCTACATCGGACAGGTTTGTATGTACATATCGTTATACAGCACATGCTTAGCGACAATTGATCAATATTTCCTAACCAGTCGGTCAGTACAAACTCGTCAGCTAAGTCGATTAACCTTAGCGAAACTCGTTCTATTCATTTCACTTTCTATTTTCATTCTAATTAATGTTCCAATTTTGTTTATTTACAATTTATATCCAAAAACTAATGGAACATCAACTATATGTACAGTTTATTCGCCTGTTTGGACATTTTATTATACATACATTCAAAGTTTAATATTTCTTTGCCTGGCTCCATTATTGATTCTTATTCTATTTGGAATTTTGATCAAACATAATCTGCAATCTGTGCGACAACTTCACCAACCAATTAAAAGTCAAATGACAAAGATGGTCTTATATCAGGCGTTGGTTATGTTGATATCATTATCGGTTGCCACAACTCAAATCATTTATCAAGAAATAACGAAATCTATTCCCAAAGATCTCTTGCGTTTTTCGCAAGAAAATCTATTTAATACAATCGCGAATTTACTAACTTATGTTAATTACATTGGATCGTTCTATATTTATTTTTACTCATCGAAATCATTGAGAAAAAACTGTCGAAATCTTTTACTAAAGCGGCAAATTGGATCAAACACACATTCCCAACGAGATAAACCCACCCTTCAAAATTCTCTTAATCAAGTGCGTCCAACGGCAGATCCCATTCATTAACGAAAAATGCAGAGCAGAAAAGTACTGATGTGCTCGATAAAAAGTCATAAGAGTTGGACTATTCAATACTTTCTCGCAAAGTTGTAGAGAGCAGAATGATTGAAGTTTTTGCTTGTTTCTAACGCTTTGGTCAATGATTGGTTTTGTCTGAACGATTATAAAATAAACGCTTGCTTCACCATTAATATCTCTGTTCGAATTGATCTGTGTCGAAGAAAAAATTTCTTTGTGTACATTAACAACGTTCTTGTTAGCTTAGGAAGAAAAGCATAACAATGAAAATTATAGAAAAACTAGAGGGAGTACCCGCTGCAAATAAGAAATATCTATGTCGAACATCTCACGTTTTGAGAAGCTATAACAGACAGAAAATCAGTATAATTCAAATTTCTACGCTTCCAATCCTTATTTTCCCGCCGTGCATCGCATAAAATGGCAGTTTCGGCTATATCTTTTTATGCAAAAGAGTTACCAAAGCTAATTTCTGCTTTAGAAATTATGAAAATTTCCTCTTTCTCTGATATTCATTCATCGACTTCTTTCTCACTCACGTCATTTCATATCTTATATCCTTCGAATTCACCTACCCTCGACATTTATCTTAATCTTTTGAGATCCTGTAACGCTATTGGTGAGTTTCGCAGACTATCTGTAGCATTCACCGATCTATCATAGGCGTAGAGAACACATGGCTTGTTGTCTTTGAACGCTCAGACGGCCTTCGCTACCGACCCGCTGCAATTTTTCACATCTCGCAATACTATTGGTCATTTCATAGGTTGCCTGTAGCAGACGCCTGGATCATTTGTTCTCGAAAGAAAGTAGATGTCGACCCTCCTCTGAGTCTCAGGAAACATTGTGGAAAGTTTCAGACCGATAGCTACTACAGGGACTGAATACATAGCGAATAGACAAACTTTCTTCTTTATTGGCTCATTATTGTCATGTTTCAACTGAAATCATTTTAAGATGCCAATCATATTGCTTAATTCATTTCGTTGTCTATTTGATCCCATAGAATACAAATGCAGCTAAAAATGGATAGTTCATCGGTTCAATTGAATGATTTGCCTGATGAAGTAATTGCTAATATTTTTTAAAAACTAGACAATATTGAAGTTCTTTATTGACTTACAGATGTTAATAAACTATTCAATCGAATTATATATGATTCAATGTTCACGAAATGCTTAATGTTAATGCATCGTTCTTCCAGAGGTTCATTACGACAATTAAGCAGTCAAGTATTCGATCGATTTTGTTTACAAATTTCACCTGAAATTCAACAAAAAGTCAAATGGCTCAATGTTGAATCTAAATCTATGGAACATATTCTTCTTTCTGCAAATTATCCCAATTCCTATGGACTTGGTATATATCATATTGAAGACGAAACTTTTTTACGTATCTTGACTGGTAAGAGATTTCACTTATCATTCATCAGTACTTGGAATATAAATAACGTCACGAAATATCATAACTCCATGAAGTAATAGTCACTCTTTCGAATATTGTCTTGAAATTTATGTTTAGAGAACGCTTCTGTATTTCACATAATTCCAAATCAAATTTCATCACTTGTCATCCATATCGTGCAAGGTACATTTCCTACTTTACCAAGCGATGGCAATTCAGATATATTTACATATATTATAACTGAATGCTCCAAATTACGATCTTTGTGTGTTGGTCCATCTGTATTTCATCATCATCAATTATCATACCGACTCGCTGCTCCGGTTTAGTTCAATTCTGTCGGAACTACGTGTCAATGTAGAGAGTTTTATGGATTGTCTTTATTTACTTGATGGTCGCTTCAGACATTTCATGTTGATATCCATCCAGCTCGTTTTCCATCGAGAACAAGGTAGATTAATAGCAAAATCATCGTTGAAATAAGTTGATTTTCTTTTAGAATGAATTACCTAATTTAAAACACTTTTCCTTTCATTGTAAATGGGGAATAGATCAATATGACGAATTCATTTTACCACTCTTACATCGAATGACAAGTGTAGAAGAAGTTGCTTTATGCGTTGTAGTAATTCAGGAGAAAAGATTTATTGATGTTTATGATATAAAACAAAATATTGTTGACCATTTATCGCAAATGAAGAAATTTATATTCAACATACGTTCGATTATATTTTCCGCCAATCAGATCTCTTTACCTTCCAATGAAGATGTTCATAATCATAGAACTATTTCTTATGTTGATTATTTTTCAAATTACCAAAAAGCAGTGCCATGCCTATTCACTTCCGTATCAGTTAAAATATTACGATGGTCTTACAAATAATCTACCAAATGAAATTTTTAAACATGTCGGAGAGATTTCATTGTTTGATGAACGTCCATTCGAACATGAATTTTTCCTTTGACTTGCGAAATCATTTCCGTTGATGAAAATATTAACTATATTCAATAGACAATCGCAGAAAAACAAATCTTGTCAACAATCAGAGGATGATCAGCAACATTTATCAGTCATTCAATGTCCTCATCTGACTAAACTTGTTCTTGATGATGCTCATTATGATTATATCGAATAGTTTCTCTTAAATACCAAAACATGTTTAACAAGACAGCTTGATTTGGACGGCAGTTATCAAGGTTTAGATGCTGTAACATATAATTTCTCAAGAGAAGCAACACGAGTCAATTGTGCCAAGTTACTTCGTTTATTCGTATTTTCCAATATTTTGGTCCCATCTCATTTAAGAGACTATTTACCATGTACAGAATTTATAGGAATGTAATTCGTTGTCGATGTGATTAAAATGATGGCGATGCTGATACAGCATATAAGAGGGGCACACATGTTGATATCTCGTTTCACATTTATGGAGAGTGATAAATTATGTGTTCCATTTTATGTGCAAATATCACCTAGTTTCAAATAAATAACAAAAAACCCTTTATAATAGCGACGAGTATAGGTGTTTTATCTCTTCAAAGCATGTTCAGCATGCCACAGTGCTCGTTTATAGTAAAACTCTAATGCTTTAATACCTTGAAATAGTTCATTTTGATGTTGATATTGCCAATAAATAAATGTAAAATCTTCACA